GTAAGGGTGACGCCAATTCTCTGGGCGTCGCTCTACCGAGCGGCTCCTCCGGCTCCCTGGTGGGGACAGGCCAACGTCTGTTTCCATTGTCACCATGGGCATGGGTGTCGGTGATCTCACCCTAGGAGGGGAGTCTTGGATTTCCCCATCGGAAATTGAACCCCGTAGAGTTGAAAGGGGTGCACGTGGGAGGTCAACCAAATGGCGGGGAGACCCTTGAGGGGTAACCCGCATAGCCTCCTGGAGGACCGGTTCGGGTGGGGTTGGTATCGTAACCGCCACCGGTGCCAAGGGTCCCATCGGTTCCGAATTCCGATTTCGGGGACAGTCTGGACGGTCCAAAGTCTTAGACTTTTTAGGAGGCTTGGAGACCTTCTCCTTTCTGGCCTTCTTATGGCCTGCCGACTTCTCTTCGGCGTGCTTCCGCTTTTATGCTTCTTTTTAGGTGAAGCAGAGGGGGCCACCGAAGCAGACGCACCTTCGTCCGAAGGCCGTGAGGGTGGGGCCACAGAAGCGGAGCCAAGTTTTGGGACAGCGACGAGCGGGTCCGACTGCATCAGAGCCCGATCCCAAAGGAGCCTCCGAAGCCGTTTTTCATGGTTCTTCCTGGCCTGCTTGGAGAAGGCCAGGCAATGCGCGCATTTATCCGTCCTATGCCCCTCTCCCAGGCAGAGGAGGCATAGGTCATGTGGGTCAGTTGGTGCAATTTTTGATCCGCAATCCGCACATTTGCAGAAAGCCGCTCGCTGCGCCATCGCAGAAGAGGAAGAAAAGAGAGATAGTGAAGAGGGTAAGTGTGTGTGTGTGTGTGTGTGTGTGTGTGTGTGTGTGTAGATAGATAGATAGATAGATAGATAGATAGATCGATCGATCGATCGAAAGAAGAAATAACGAGAAAAAGCTACACAGAATAATAAGCTGGGACGAAGTAATAGTCGAAGCGAAAGTCGAAAGCGGCATGAGGCACAGCGAACGGTGGTCGCAAAGACTGAACAAAATGGCGGACGCTCCGTTCTTTATAGACCACAGCGGGGAGGGGAGTGGAGCTTCCCGCCAAAAACCATTAGCTATCAATCTTCCGGCCACAGGCACTGCGCAGGCGCAGTACCCGTATGTGTGATGCACAGAGGCCACGACGAAGAAATACATATCCATTTCATGGCTAGGAACTAAATGAAGGATGAATATAATGAACATTTCTGCTCCATTTGCTTCCTGGCCAGTCAAATTTGCACTTTTTTTCTGGGGAGTAAATGCAGTTTTTGTAGCTGGAAAATAAATATGCAAGGTGCATATTTTCAGATTTCATGGCTGGGAGGTACATGGAGTAGACATTTGCATTATACTGTCCAGTTGGGCAGAGGTGAAGAGCACACATTTATTAAACAAAGGAGTTGAAAAGCCATTGTGGCTTGAACAACTTCTAGCCTATGTCACAGGTTGGCCCATTGCACCAGAACAAGCCACCTTGTGGGAAGTGGTCTCAGTTCAGGCGATAGGACAACCCAGCATGATGAGATATGAGGATGGATTGCCTTGTTGTCTGAACCTGGGGTTACGCAGCATGACAACTCACGGTGCCTTGTAAATCACAGAGGTTTTTCATGTCACTTGAACCAAGACTGCTTCCTGCAAGCCACACTGAGGACTCCTGGCTTATTCTAAGGGTTGTGGAACCCAGGATGGCTTGGCATGTTGTCCAGCCTCACATGTCAACAAATTCATTGTGGATTGTGGTGATGAGCTAGTGAACTATGTGGCACCAGTGGAGAAAAACATGCTGTGGCTTCTCAGCTCACGGGATGACTTGCTTCCCAAACTTGGCCTATGAAGAGAACTGTGCTGTAGTCGCCTGCTGCCTTCCTTGACAGAGCAGCCTCCTGCCATCTAGGCTGCTCCACTGCGTGGTGTTTTTTTTTTTTTTTCCTGCCCTCTGGGTGCACACAGTGTGCTGTCCACACACTGGCCTTGAATGAGCTTGCTGTCCTTCCAGCGTTCATTGTCCTCTGTCCCATCTCCATGCGATCCAACCAGGTAAATAAGCGCTTTAAGGTTGTGGATCCTGATTCTGCTTCTCCTTCAACAGCCCAGAATGTCTAAGCACTTCCCATGTCTAAGCTTCCGCTGAACTCAATCCTCATTCCATTTGGAATACCACTGATAAAGAGCTCCCCACTTCTGTGACTACTATTCCCACATCCATAGCTACAACTTCCTAGCCGCTTGGTTTTGAATTATTCCCTCCCTGTGCTTTTGAAAAATTTTATTTTAACTCTGAAGCACTTTCAGTGGAGTCCTTTAGCAGCCGCTTCTCTTGGACCAATTGCAACCATGCACCCTGCACAGGAGGTCAGTGGCCAGGTGTCCTCACACTCCTTCTCACAAGAACCCACTGCTAGGCCTGATTTAAGCAGCAGCTCGGCCACAAGTAAGTTGGAGAGAGAACTAGTAAGTGTGGGCACATTTCTGTGATGAAGGCAACCCAGTCAGTTAGGCAGATGTCCCTCTTCCACTGCTGCAGGCGCAGCCCAACACAGTGCAAGGGGATGTTCATTGACTGAAGAAAACGTCTATGGAAGTTGTGGCTTACAAGAAGCTGGCTGGGTGGCCCATCATGATTTGGCCGAGATCCTGCTCGACTGGAAAGCCAGTACTCTTGGTTGTGTAGCTAGCAGCACTTTCCCTGAGCCAGTCCTGGACAGTGTGACACTAGTCCATGTCGATTTACAGTGAGCTGCCTGGTCCACTGGGATGTGTTGCGCATTATGCTGCTTGAGTACACCAAAGTCTCAAAAGGCCTTGCAAGTTATTATATGGCCGCCCCATTCAGAAGTGTCTCCTGCTTGGAGGAGGCCATGTGCTTGTGCTGGTCTTTGCTGCCGAGCCGTGTCTTGCTTGCCCGCAGTGTTGTCAGCTGCAAGCAGCCTGGCTGCTCCCATCGAAACCCCTGGCCTGCTCTCTCTCACCACTCATACATTCTCCTAAGGGGTTGGGCACTACTAGCCACAGAGGGGCATTGCGCACGTGTGCATGAATGACTGCAGTTGGAAATGTCACCACCCACTGCAAGGAGGTCAGGCTGCTAGACAGGGTTCTTCATGAGGCCACCTGTTTCTGGAAAATGGCCCATGGCAGGCATCGAGGCCACCGTGTCCGAGTTGGACATGCTTATGGAGGAGATGCCAGCTGCTACCAGGGAAGCCCCGGTGCACATAAAAGCAAGTTTGAGGAAAGGCTGTTTCCTGAGCTTAACCCACATGGAGGTGGGTTCTGGTCACCGCCCCCCAGCCGGTGACCTTGAATGCTTCTTCATTCAAACAGTGGCATCCACCCTCCTCCAGATATGCAGTGGCTTCATCAGAGAAAAGGCTGGCGGGGAAGGAGGAAACAGAAAGCGAGGTCACCCTCTCCAGTGTCAGCCTGTTCCATCAGAAGATCCCAAAGTAGTAAGCAGAGAGCCTAGTGGGCCTCAAAAGTCGGGGGGGGGGACCATTACAATCAACATAGGGTGCTTACATAAGAAGCATGACATTTCTTCTCATCCACTAAGGCAGATGAACAAAAACATAGCCAAGATCATCTGGGAAACAGCGTGGAAGAACATGTCTGAAGGGGTAACCTCAGACTGCATCTTCAAGCAGGCTCAATGTAACACGTGAAATGGCCCAGCTAGAGACTAAAGCTGCCATCATATTCCCAGCTAGAGAGGACTAAGTTCTGTTGAACACAATGGATATTTCTTCTAATTTGACACACATGCAAGTAGCAGCTCCTCAACAGCAGAATGGATACTGGACCTCCATCACTCCTGCAGGATGGTCCTCCAGGCACGGCTGTAGGCACCAGCACTCTTGAAATCAGCCATGACCCAGCTCTCTTCTGGGACTTCCTTTGGCTGACACAGACCAGCTCATCAGCCCAGCTGTGATGGTGAACAGCCCCCGAGTGCTGCTCCTCATCCTGAGACCAGGCCTCTGCAGTTTAGCCCTGGTTCACAGTACACTACCAGGCACAGAGAACAGCCAAGCTGAAATCCAGCTACTACTGTTATGCAGAACTGCCCACACAGCACACTTCTCTGATGAGGAAGTGTGGGGGCAGTCACTGCCTGCTCCTCTGGTTGAAGGCTACCTCACTTCAGACACAATGGAGCACTGTTGCATCCTGCACAAAATTTGCAAGTCAAGGGGAACATGCTTCTTCACAACAACGCTGATCTCCCCTGCCTAGTAGTTTCCAAATGAGACTTTACTTTTTGTAGATAATCACAATCTTTGGGGTACCAGCCAAACTTTAGCATCGGGTTTTCTTGGGGGTTTGGGGACTGCTACAGGGAGAGTGAGTGGGGAGAGGCAAAGAGAAGAAAGGTGGAGAAAGGGCAATTAAGGAAGAATGGGTGCCTGCAGCAGGGGCTGCAACAAGAACTGTAAGCTGGGGAGGGAAAAGTGAGAGCTTTGCCATTCTTATTACATGGAATCTGGTATTTTGCATTTCTTCCACCACCAGCAAGGAGTATGGAAGAAGAAACGGCAGGTGGCCACAGCACAAGCTGCAAGCTGATTAACTGAACAGAAAAGGAAATAAAATTTGACTGCCTATAACCATGGGCATTTGGCAGGCACAGGGTGGAGGGGAGGGACAGGCAACTGGTTGGCAAAGGCAATGGATCTATAGGAAAAGGCTTACTGCCACAGTGAGGGAACAAGGATGGCAGAATGCTTATCTGGCCACAGCAATGCCCCCATCAGTTGGGGAACTGAGAGGGAAGGAAGAGCAGAGCAATCCAGTGATAAGCCCAACTGTGTCTGGGGACCCAGCTAACCATTCACATTGCACAGTTTGTGAGACCCGACAGCTCTTTGTGTTGTGCACACCCACTCGGCGTCTGGAGCAATGTAATAATATGCAAGCAAAGAAATGGTTGCACAGTCTTTAGCATTCTGCACAGGAAAGGAAACGAAAGAAAAACTAAACAAAACAAAAAACTACTTCAAAAGATATTTGAACATGTAATGAAAAAGCAGATTTTTATTATGTGATTTTGTCCATTATCAGCATTGCTGTAAATGGCTTACATTTACTGCAACTTCTGTACAGATGTGTGGCTTTGAATTTACTAGAACAGCAAAATTTAAAATGAAAAATAAATGCTCAACAGTTCCACACAAGATTTTACAGTCCAACATTTCACTGAGTAGGTGGAAAGACATTGTTACTACAGAGTTATTCGGCAGGAATAAAAAACTACAACTTTTTATTTTTAAACAGGAGTCACTTGTTTTAATTTTTACACTGTTTAAAGTTACTGTGATAAAAAATGAAAAAGCTTTTTAATAATGCCATACACCAGCATAATACAGTCTTTGACCCCATGAAATATCTTTTGTAGAATATACAAAATAGAATGCTGACACACTACTGGATCCGTGCTATTAAGCACGTTGAGTTGTGGTGGCGGCAGAGGTGGAGGCAGTGGAGGGTAAGGACGGGAGGCGGCTATTGTCATGGACACCATCTTTTGCCAGAGAACACAAGCCTCAGAAAAGACCCTGTAATGTTTTCCACTAATAGGAGGCTTTATTCCTTGCCAGAAAGCATGAAAGTGTGAGTACATTAAGGGTATCAGCCCAATTTATTTCAATGTGGATGGGGTGGGTGGTGGGTGAGGTTCAGTTCTGAAAGAAGCTGGAAACTCTGGTCCCTTTTAAAGAAGTACTTAAGCGAAGTGGCTCAAACACCAGGGCCTTGCCACTCATTTTCTGAAGTATGGTCTGAACCCTCCCACACTCAGGAGTCATAACTGATCTGAAAGGGCCATTAGGATATGTACATTTCGCCCCTGACCTGCTTTATCTCATTACTCATATATTTTCCTAATGTTGGTCTATTGTTCTGTGGTGTTTTAATGACCACATTTCTGTGTGTGTTTTTAAAGACGTTTATTAAAGTGGAATGGGGATAAGAAATGATAAAAACTCCAACATGTAGAATTTGCAGAATAGCTGCTTTCCTGCAAACACAGCAAGAAAGATAAGGAGGTGTTAACTACTGGAGGCTGGGTTTTTTTTAATACTCTATTTCCACGTTTTGAATTGAGTGGAATAAAAATAGCCAGTAATACAGTGTTGCAAAAAACTTGCAAACACTAGGTGATGCATTTATGCAGGTGATAATGGGTCACAAGGCTTCTCCTTATGCAAACTGAACCACCTCTTTGGATTCAGTTTCACTTTCCTTTGGCACAAGGTGTTACACAGCATGGTGAACAGGGAACACCTTCTGCAGAAAAAATGCTACGCTTGGATCCAATGTTCAAGTTTGAGGGAAAAGCATTTTCCTCTCTAACTCACAACTCTGCTGTAAGGGTACATGAAGTCTGTAAGAATTACAGACCATCGTGTAGTGATACCCTCGTATAAAGTCTTTAATACAGTATCAGATCAACAAGAATAATATTTGACTCCAAACTAAACTCTCTCTGTGTGCCTATGTAATGTATTTGAACACAGTATCTGATGGAACTTGTTTTTGCAAGCATAGGATTAAGTTCTTTGCAAATTGTTATCATAGTATACACTACCTATCAAAATTAAGGTCTCATCAGCCTCCTGCATGTTGAACAAAATGAAGATGTGGTGGCTGATCTTTTCCTCAAGCTCTTGTACTCAATTATGTGAGTGTGCACAGAGTATGGCAAGCAGGACTAATTTCAGTCCTCATTTTGCTACCAACTGCCTTCTTCCCTCCTCTGTCCCTAAGATGTAGCTATGTTGTAAAGTGAAGAGGCTCCACTATTAAAGATAGCTGGCACTTGTGTGCACTTTGTGCTCCTTTGCTGTTTTCAGGATGTTGCATTTTTGGTTTAATTTGGCTGGCAAGATTGGCAAACTAATTCTAAGCACATTTATTACTTGGAATTCAGTAGCACAGTTTTTAATAGGTTTACTTCAGACTAAGTAGGCTCAGCCTTACAGACCTCCTGACCAGGATGGCTCTGGGCTTCCTCTAGAGGACAGGAGGAACACAAAGGCATAGGTCATCTCCGCGCCTGCTGATGAAGAGGGCAGGCTGAGGTTCCAGCAGGGTATCTTTTATATTGATGAGCCTCCCTTCCTGCACCCCCCATGCCAGTTCCAAGGTTGGTCTCCCATCCTCAGAGCCACACCTGGCATAAAAGAACTGCACCAGCTGGGAAGGCACTCCAAATTTGGAACTCTGGGAGGCTTTCTCCAGGTTGCAACTGGAACTCCCACCTCTCCTATGGCAATAGGAATGTGCCCTAAGGCTCTCAATCCTTTGCTTTATTGGTGAAAGACCTATAAAAATTTCTTTTCTCCAACTGCATGCCTTAATATACTCTGTGAAAAAAATCATTCCTATTAGTTTCCATGTGCAATTCTAACATTCAGCATGCATATCTGGAGCTATCGAAATCATTTCCATGTCAGCATGATATGGCAAGGCACTGAAGAGGCAGAAGTCAGAATTTTCCCTGCTTTATTTGAAATTCCCCCAGCATGAAAAAGACTAGCCAGACAAGAAACACATGTTTTGTCGAATGCTTATGTACTTCAAATGGCTTAACAACACATTTAAATTGAAAGTTCTTTTCCAGAATGAACATTTGCATTTTTTTAAAAAAATAAAGTCCATAAACTGAACAAATACATGAAATCGAAAGAATAAGAGCCTCTTTTCCACCACTAAATTACTTGGTTGCATGTAGTCATAGTACTGATTTCTATATACCTCAGTTGTGTTGGTAAACAACCACAGATACTTTTGTCAATGCACAACATTGCTAGCTTTCTTAAACTTGGTATCAGGGATGAAAATGTTCAATACAGAAATGTCACTTTCCAAATTTTCCTCATGCTTTACCTATTCAGGAGCCTCTTTGAAACCAAATACTTGAGTCTTTTGACATTAGGTAAAAACAGGCAGAATACACAATTTCATCCCAATGGTTTGCAAACTACTGTTAAAATACTCTCTGCAGCTTAGATAAACTGTTAAACATACATGAAGAGCTTATTCAGCAAGAAAGGCAAGTTGCTTACCTCTTTCTGGGTGTTCTTTCAGCGATCATCTGTGCAATTAAACAACAGTATTCTATGCCTAGGCAGAACATCTTCAGAAGCTTCTAGAGCATTAGTCTGGAAGCTGACACTCCTACAGAGAAACACTCAGAACATTCTCAGTGATGCAGCTGCGTAGCAGTCACAAGAGCGCTGTATAAGGGAGGTGTTCATCTTATCCTGCCCTCCGCATAAAAACGAGGAAGTGCAGGAGTGCCAACCATATAACTAGAAGCTCCCAAGATGCTGGGCTTATGTGCAGTACTCAATTGTGGGATTGCACAGAAACCACAAAGGATTACGGTTATTAAATGTGATATTTTACTCCCAAGTATAACAGCAAGGGATTTTCATTTATAAGCCTAACATTTAAAAAGAGGATTAAGAAAAGCCAAAAATAGCTTAGGTAAAATTTGTTTTACCAAGAACATTTCCATTGAATAATTAGAAATGCATTTAGTAGAGTGTCCAAACTATGTTCTATTATTTACATATTGCTGGTACCTGTATGCATTTTATTGCCAAATTTGCCTAGCTGTTTTGCTGTGCTCCGTGATGCTGTTATACGAAAGTAACCCCAATTGTCCAGTGGTGTGAATGTGTAGGCAAATGCATACATGAACACACTATTTCAAGTTTATGCTGTTTGCAATGGGGGTCAAATACACCTGCACAGCTGCTGCAGGTTAGGTTTTGGAATGTGAGGGAACCAAGGACACAGGCTGGATCATTACATTCAATTTCCAACCCATGCTTTTTCTTCCAGAAGTCTAACAGATTTAGGTTTCAGCCCCAGGAACTCCCACTGAATACAGACAAGTTCCTTTAAAAATAAAAACGGAAAAACAACAACTGAAGCACACATAATAAAACTAGAGTACCTCTTTAGATACTTCAGAACAATGCTGCCAGGATTAATACTTCGAGACAAACCACAATTTGTATGGATTACCATTCAACACATTTTGTGACCCCTAGAAAAAATATATCACGTGTCATGATAAAGCAATCTGTCATCTAAAAACCATTTTTATGATACACTATACAAGCTATTTTTACAATAAGTTGATTAACTGCTTTAAAGCTGTAGTAGCTCTTCCTTTCTTTTCATCAAACACCACTACCAAATTATATATAACTGAAAGTGTCATTAACCAAAATATATTAGTAGCTTCTTATCAAATTTTGTTGTTAACTCTGGTTAACAAATCCCATTATTAAAGTCATTTTTACAGAAATATTTAGGCCACTTAGAACAAAAGTCTTTTTTTCTTCTTTCTTTAGAGTGGCATAAGCTTTTTAAATCTTCTGAAAATTCCTAAAGTGCTCAGAGGATGGGCTACTACAGCTTACAAATTGTTTAAAAAAGAACAAAAAAATAACAAGGAAAAATTCACAAGACATATATGGTTGTTTTATGGCACACTAGTAGTTTGATACAGAAGGGATGGAGCTGTACAGAGATTAAATCCTACTCTAAGCCGCAAAATCAATAGCGGAAATTGCATGTTTTCTAGGAAATAAGGTAGGTTCATTTGGGTGACAAAGTAAAAATGGGTGCATAACCATACACAGGTTTGGGATTTTTATTTTCCACAAAAGATTTTTTTAATTCTTCTTCTGGTAGTTTGGTCTATTTTCTTCTCTGCATAAAGGTAAAAATCTTATCAGAAGTAAAATTTTTAAGAAACCTTATAAACATTATATATATATTTATATATATATATTTATATATATATATATATATATATATATATATATATATATATATATATAGAGGGCATAACTGCAACAATTTTGTAAATCAATGTTACCTGTATTATATGTAGTTATATATATGTGTACATATGTGTGTGTGTGTGTGTACAACATGCACACGCACACACACATGCATACATGTCCTGACTGTGAAAACGAGTAGAAATTGAGCCACCAACTAAAAATGGAGCCAGGATTGTACATGTTTGCCTCAATCCAGCGAGTGATCTGCAAGCAGAAACTGGCTTCTTTCTGCTTACTGATCTGCTTTCCTGGGGCTACAGACAGCTGCTGTGGCGAGCCCTGGTGGTCAGGACCCAGGGTATCACTGCCCTGGCCATGCACTGCCCAACCAATGAGCGGCACTAGCAGTAGTGATTACAGCTTAGCTGGAAGGGAAAAGACCTTTCTGAATGGGGCCATTGGTTGCAACTCAACAATTCTGGGAACTCCATAGAGGCAACTTTGCATTTTTGGGGGGTGAAAAACATGAATGAGTTAAAAATATTATTTTTAAAAGCACAGGTTTTGTGGCTTCTCAGTTATGTTCAAAGAAAAAGCAGACATGCCAATTTCTGTGCACATCAATTTTGTTCTGCACCATAACAGCTGCTCTGGATTGTGGCCACTGTATATATATAATATACACTGATATATATACAAAGTACACACATATGGCAATAAACTGAGTATGGAAAAAGTTAATTTCTCCATGTTAGAAGTAAACTTTTTGAACAATAATGCATATTTTCCTGAAGATTTCCTGATGGGCAGTCTAGACTGATCTTTTTGCTGTCAATCTAGCCCAGGATCCTTTCAATTATGGCTATTGCATTAAATGCAAATATTTATCTCGGCCATTTTAAAAAGTTTGTGTTCATACACAACTGTTTAAGACAGAGCTATTTTTCCAGTAGCTCACGAAAGTTGCTTGGCCGATATCAAATGCATGCATTTCCAGTGTTCAGGTTAGATCTGAAATACATTTCCATCCCTATGCCCCTTGAAGAAAGCTAAATTTATAGTCCTGATCAGAATAGAAAAGCCAATGTTCACATGAGTATACTTAAAGATTAATATCTAGAGGTCATTAAGCTATGAGCTGCCCCACTTTAAAAAAACAGCTGTACAATAGGCATCTTGAAGTTTTACAAAAATTATGTAAGAAAAAATGAGCAAGCTTAGTTCACTGTATATAAAGTTAAAGGAAATTGCTAAAACCAGACAGTAATAGCTATAAAAGGCACAACTTCCCTTTTCTGATATACAGTTGTAAACTTTCTTCATGTTACATGCATAAATCAAAAATGCTACTTTTAACTATACAAAAAATCTATACCAAAACAAAAAACCTAGAAAACTTTATCCAGCCAACTGCAGACATTTCTAGCAGAATGTTGACAATGTAGCTTCTGAACTTGACAATGCTGCTTTTGGTGCATCCTATACTGCCAGCATGATGGTATATGTGGAGGAAAAATCCCAACCCATATTTCTTTCCTTCTTCCTGCAATCAGTCAGTTTGAGGCATCTTCTTCTGAAACCTAGGTCTTGGCCCTCTGTAAACCACATGTAGTGCATAATTACAAAACAAAAACAAGAACACCCAATATAGTTGCAAGGACAAAATTAACAAGTCTTTTAGTTTATAAAAAAGAAGCTATAATTTGACTTTTTTCTTAAGGCAATCTTTCTGTATTAAGGCAGTCACTTCTGATGAAATAAGAGTTTCTTGATATTCCCATTTGAGTATTTTGGTAACTGATTGCTGATGATTTCTGCCAACATTTCTGGAAACTCAATACTCATGGATTTATCCAAAAACGTTTGGAAGCAAAAAGTTAGAAGATTCTCAACCACCTGCAAATAATAAGAGAGACATGTGAAGCCAACCTTCATGCACAAAAATACGTGTTACTGCTGTGTTGCAAAGTATTTTAAAACAGGATTAATTTATTAATACTTCTTTTTCTATAAGGTGCATTAAGTAAAAGACTGCAAGTAAAAGCCAAACAGGAGTTGTCCTCTCCCCAACCCAAATCTGCTCTGGAGGGTCTCTCAACATTCCAGACCAGTTCTAGAGGAATGCAGGGGAGGTTTTAATGCACTAATGATTTTATTTCTGCTGATGAAAGGATACCACTCAATTCAATCATATAATACAAAATATTGAATGATAAAGAATATATTTCAGCTCAAATGAAACTGGAAAAAAACTGGTTCAACTCAAATATCACAGCAAATTGCAGTATGCACCATGATTTGAACTTCCAAATGTACAACCTAGCCTTGGCTTATAGTTGTGTGTCCACTTCTGTTCGGTGCCCCATTTTTCTTGGTATTGTTGAATCCAGAAGAACAGCAATGGAATTAACTATGGCATGTTGATTCAGACATCATGTCAACCATAAATTAGAAAAAAACAGTTTGCAAACACACTTATACCATAGCTATGACTGTAGGTTATAACCATTTGGTACTACTTTGACGGAATAGTATTTGATCCAATAAAGACCTCTGTCATAGAACAAAGAGAAGGACACTTTTTGGGAATTCCCCTTTCCTCTCTGCATCCCCCACACAACCTGACACACTGTTTCAAGGGATCCCACAAACAGCTGGAGCACCCACGTGGAAAGAAAATAGTGCCCCACTTTGTTCGGCTGATGGAAGCCTCTGCTGAATCCAAGGATCATCTGTCAGGGGAAGGACATGGCTTGTTGTTCAATAACGAACCACTTATTATAAATTAAATCATCACACTGGGCCATAATTAAACTTCCTTCATCACAAAGCAAAGCTTCAGTTCTACCAAAACAGCAAGTTATTTAAAGAAAAATCTTGCTTTGATGTCCTCATATTTTGGTGTTACTAGAAAGTAACACCAAAATGTACTTTACAAAGTAAAGTAATGTTACTAGACTGTAGCGAAGAGTGGTTGAAAATTATTGAAGCCAACACATGAATGAACGGAAAAACCACTGCTGGAGTGTTTATATATGTTATATATCCTGCGTTCTGCCAAACAATTATTACATTAAATGAAAATACTCCAGAATGGACCATCACATTAACTGTGACTAAACTTTTCATAAGCCTGAAGGATAAGCCTTTCAATCCTTCCGGAAAACGATCATGCACTACTTTGGCTTTCTTTCCTGTAAAGCAGAGACTAGGATCACCTTTCTTTGGGTTAGAATTTTCTAGATTTGGCATTCAAAAGGCAAGCAAAGCAAAGTGGGAATCCACCAAACAAACCAAGGAAAGGCAGGCAAGGAAAACAATTATCTGGTAAACTATCCACTGTGAAATATGCAGTCCAGTCTGAGATGGGAGGTCCTCAAATCTCTCTGGATGAACCCTGTGGATGACTGAATAAGGGTGCCAGAAGCTGCCCTCTATTCCATTTTCCCCTGCATGAAATAATAATCATACTATAACCAAATGGCCCAAAGCACTAAAGCTGAGCACTAACTTTAGCCAGAAGGATGAAGAAAACACTGAATTTACCCAGAATTTACCAAGCACTTTGAAGGGATTAACAGGAGAGTCAATAAAGGAGATACTGATGAGGAACTGGGAATAAGAATGGAACAGGAAGCAAAAGAAGCAGCAAACAGCCCATTGCACCACATGGTACAGAACCTTTAATACAGTACTCTAGGCAAAACAATAAAACTACTGCACCAAGCTCAACCAGCATCCACAGGGCCAAAGTACAACATTCAGATGACATCAAAGAATGGTGACAAGTCATCCTTCCAAGTCCTGTTTCTATCATTTTCTTCAGCCCACTCTCAGCAGATTAGGTCATGATTGACAGAAACCAATTGTCTTTCATCCCTCACCATCTTAAGAAATTTAAGAGTGCCTAAATCTAAAACAGACCATGGGTTAATGCAAGGGTTGTTTAATCCTTACATGACCCATGTTAGCTGGAACCATGTGACACAACAATTCACAAGGCTGGGCTGCATGTTCAAAATGGTGGCTGCATGCACCCTGTACATACAGCTGCAACTATGTTATTTATCCATTTTTGCCCTTAAAACCACAAAAGGCTTATAATCTCATTTCTTCAGACAAAAACATCAGACTTTTATCATCAAAAAGCAGGTTTTAAAGATTAGGTCCTGTATCCTCTCTTTGCTGCTCAATAATATTGAGGAACTTAAATTTGCAGTTCTGTGCAGAAGTATTCTTGCCATTATCCAGATTCTATCTACATTTTAATACCAACTGTCCAGAATAAATGTACAGAATCACATATGTCTCAAAGCTTACATCATGCATGGAGTCCAGAAGTTTTGTCAGTTGATAAAAGCGTTGCCAATTCTGGCTTGAATTCCCTTCTCTCTTCACTATGGCTTTCCCCAACTCTTTGATGTAGGTCATACGAATTTCATCAAATAAGGCCTGACTTCTCAAGCCCTCCTTGGGAACTAAAATATTGAGAATTGGTTTTTAGAAGATTCAAGTCTCTATATGTCCTATTATGAAATTAAATGTTACATTTTCACATTTATAATACATAGAAAAGAGAGAACCACAACTTTAAACTGTGCATATCTATACAGACAATGAAATGGACACAAGGAATATTTATATAAAATTAACATTAGGGTCAAAAGATCTGAAGAGCATAAACTCCAAGATATCATATTTCAAAACAGAAAGCCCTGTACTGTGACCATGTTGACAGATAAACATGCATTATAAACTTCTAAATGGCCATGTCCAGTCATACATATACATGATTTGACTAAAGTTCATCATGACTAACTTAAATCCCATTCTGTCAGTAGGTCTACTCTACGTAAGCCTAATGACAGTTATAATCCATTATTAGGAATTTTGCATCTAAACAAGGTATCACTCCTTATACTGCATTTTGAAAAAGGCATCTACAGACTTCCTTTCCATAGATTTATTAGATTCATTTCAACTTGAATGGGGTTTCCCTTGCTCAAATATTTATTCACACCAATAGTGCCATTCTTGTTGCCCTCTACAGTCTTGTTGGTGGAAAAATCACTTGGTGCAGGAGTAAATATTTGTTGATGTTACTGTTATATAGACAATACTTTCAACATCAAAACATTTTTGCACCATTATCGGGTGAGGGGACTGTCTTAATATACGAAAGGTCTTGCACTCGCCTTATCAGTAAATGACATATTAACAACGAATATTCGAAGTCTGATGAACCCACAGTGACACTACATCTCTGTGACCTGGACCACAGAGGGGCAGATTTCAGTTTCAGTTTGAGCTATCATTTTCAGTTCACAGTTCAGTGTTAAAGGAAGAACTACAACTTCAACACTGCAAAAGGAAGTACCAAACAAAAGATGACAGCAAGAAAAGCAACAATCACATACTTGTAGAGAGAAGCAACAAAGTTTTCATGCAGAGGTATTCTTCATATGAAACTTGAAGCCGTGCTAACTCATTAGTAACCATCAGCAAACGTTTGCATTGTTCATACATACAAGGTAAATTCATTCTTTGCCTGAGGAAAAAGCATACACATCCACATCAATACAAAAGGGACCAAACATACTCTGCATGGATTCATTCTAGTACCCAATGAATATCCTCATCATCAATCAAAGAATAAACTCAAACAGTTTTCTAAGACTACAATTTTGTTATCTGGCAGCTTAATTGTTTCCACAGACCTAGAGGTGTGAAGGCTGTGAAAAAGATCTGAAAAATTCTTTTTCCTGGTTCTCCTCCTCCATTTCTCCCATGTTTTGATCTCTCCCTCCCTTCCCCTACTACCCCAGCATCAAGACATGCTTTTTAATCAGCTTTGTCTGGTATGCTAACTGTCCTTTTCTGTAGGAAGTTGTTCTTGCCACAGTTGCTGATGCCCAAGATCATATCATCTCGCGTCCATGGGCTCATAACAAAAGCCAGCAGCAAAAAACTAATAATATATTTTGATTAAATTACATTAGCAAGTCTTAATTTACCTATACCCAAAATGAGGCTGGACACCTGTATTTACCTGAAAGTAATGGGACTTGCTTCTTAGTCATGCATACAATTGCACTGTAAATGTCAATTCAGTATGAAACACTATCCCTATTATAAGCAATCTTAACTAAACTTTCTCAATTTGTAGAAAACCAATTTTATGTAAGAAGGCGGATTAACTTTTAAATTGGTGCTGCAATCTAAATATTATGCGATACTGGGTTAGATACAGATTTTTATTCTGCGGGGAGTATCCTTAAAGCCTGCCCCAGAACCCCAAGTTTCCATTTAGCAATCATGCTAAATTTAGCCAGAACTGGGAGAATCAGATAGGAGCAGCTTTGAGTTGGTAGAACCAAGGGGATGAGTGACTTAACAGAAGTGGATATAACTTGGAGGTACCAGTCTTATGACCTTGATAATTTGACTGACATTTTCAGTTGGCAGCCACATGTAGTGGGAAGATGCTCTTTCAGTGAGCATTTCACATTAGGATATGTGCTCAATTTTTGTTTGGTTTCCTCAACTAATTTTTCTTAATCAGTCAACACTCAGCATTGCATTGTGCTAAGTAGGTGTGTTTTGCTATTAAAGAGAACCAAGAATGTGATTTGCATGTAATTATGGCCCGAAAGTGCACAAGTGAGAATAATTATATAAAATAAACACGAACAGTAAGTGCAACGTTCCTGCAGATAACCTTCTCTTCTACGAAAATGAGTAAGGAATAATGATACGGTGCTACAGCAAATCTGCAATGTAAATACATTATAACTACCCTGCAATTACAATTCCCACTTCCTCTTGTGGCATATGCTATGTGAATACACTTGTTGCTATTCTGAGGTGTGCATGTGGATTTTTAAATAGCACAGACCAAAGTTCCAAGTAATGCTATCTGTTCTGAACCCAAGTTCAATCTTGATGGCCCTATTTTTCATTTGTTAAGAAACTACACTTCTATTTAAAAATGTCTGCCTGACTTTCATACTATTTAAAGTAGTTTACTATTTTATGAAAGCAATAAATTCATGAATAATACATTTAAAGAGAGGTAGTAAAGCAGTTCACATATTTAATTAACATTCCTGAAAGGTAAGTCAGAGAAAGAGAAACTGGACTAATATCAGTTTTAGACCACTAAGTCTAAAACAGAGTGGCAAGCAGAAAATCCTAAGCTAATTCTCTGTCCATAACATCACACTGGTTTCTTGCTTGATTTTACTATCTATTCAGGTTGCTGTATTTAGCACTCATTAGTGCAGCATTTCTGACACTTAACAAAACAAACAAACCACCAGTATACATTTTTAAGCTGTCAGTTTAATTGCCTGAAATCATTACCTGCTTGACAGACATAGAAACAGAGCGAGTCAGAAGGGACCTCCTGGGCCATCTAGTCTGACCCCTGGCTCCAGCCGGCTCCGCTCACGACATGCCCACCATGTGCATGTCCAGCCTATCTTTGAACACCCTCACCGATGGGGCCTCAACGACCTCCCGTGGAAGCCCATTCCACACCCTCAGGGTCCTGACAGTCAGGAAGTGCTTCCTGGCATCTAAATGGAACCTTGGCTCCCTGAGCTTTGCTCCGTTGGAGCGCCTCCTGCCTTCCTCCACAGGGGAGAACAGGTCTCTACCCATCTCCGTGTGACATCCACTCACATACCTGTATGTTGCCTTTGAGTCTCCTCTTCTCCAGGCTGAAGAGACCCAGTTCCCTCAGTCTCGCCTCATACCCCATCCCCTGCAAACCGGCCACCAACCTTGTGGCCCTACGCTGCACTGATTCTAACCTGGCTATATCCTTTCTGTAATGAGGGGCCCAAAACTGGGCACAATACTCCAGTTGTGGGCGCACTAGAGTCGTATAGAGCAGTAGTAATACCTCTCTCGATCTAGAATCTTGGTTCTGGCTATGCAACCAAGGGTGGTGTTTGCCCTCTTGATCACTGCATCACAATGCTGACTCATGTTTAGCCTGCAGTCAACCAGTACCCCGAGGTCCCTTTCACAAGTGCTGCTCTCCAGCCACTTGTCACCTAACCTGTACTTATGACACCTATTCCTATGCCCCAAGTGCAAGACCTTGCACTTATCCACATTGGACACCATCCTGTTGTCTCCTGCCCACTTCCATAGTCTGTCCAGATCCTTTTGGATCCTGAGTGGCTGCTCCTCAGTTGTGGCCACTGCTCCAGCTTTAGTATCATCTGCGAATTTGATCAGCAGACTGTTCACCCCTTCTTCCACATCGTTTATGAAAAGATTAAACAGGATCGGCCCCAGGACAGAGCCCTGGGGAACCCCGCTTGTCACTGGCCGCCATCCCGAGGATTCCCCACTAATGGTTACCCTCTGCTTTCGGTCAGTCAACCATGCCCTAATCCACCGGACAGTGCTTTGGTGTATCCCAAAACTCCTC